TTCTTAGTGGGTGGTGGACAGGGTGCATTATAGGGGAGGGGGGGCTACAATTATTTTAACGAGTTGATAGCAAAAAAAGCCTATTCATTATACAGCGCCCCGTGAATTTCTGTACAGCACGAGCGATGCGATGCTTTGGGTATGATTGCAAAGCGTCAGCCCTTTTCAGCTGGAGTTTTACTTGCCTGAGTGGGCTGAAATGTGGCTTCGGGGTGGGACATTATTGTTATTATTGTTATTATTATGCAAGCAAAAACCCAACCTGCAGGTATGATACCATGGGGTTTATTTTAAGCTGCCCTTTCTGCAGCGAGGGCTCTTTGAAAAGAGATGCTAAAGGGTTACACAGCTACGTGAAGGTTTGGGAGGGAGTTTGGAAGTTTCTTCCCAACCCAGCTTGAAACCAATGGCACTTCTGCACCGACTCCTAGCAGCAGGGACCACGCTGGAGTTTCTGGTGCCAGGCAAACAGGTCTGCCCATGTGCCGGGTGTGTGGCCGCAGAGCCGGGGGCGCTGGGAAACCAGAGGATCCGAGTGAGAAGGGGGAGCTGCCTCGGAGAAAGGGGCATCCAACCAAACCCAAACACACGCACGAAAACAAAAAACACGCCGGGGTTTTGTTTCTTCTCCTTTTTCCTCTGCACCTCTCTTCCTCCCCTGCCACCTCCCAGCCTGCACAATAGCCGGGGGCAGTTGCTTGCGCAAGGAGGCTGTATAACAGGGGCGGATTGTGTTACCCTTGGTGATTTTATTATTATTATTATTATTATTTTTTAATAAGTGCTATGGAAAAATCCTACCCTTGCCCCAGCAAGGAGCAGGGAGAGGGGCTGGGGGGGTGACTTCACAGCCCAGCCCGTGTGTGTGAGGGATGGAGCACGAGGGGCTCTGGCCGGGCTCCAGCTGTTCCCAGCTGTTCTCCAGGAGCTCGCCCTCATGCCACGCTTTTGCTTTTCTTTCTGTGTAAAAAAGACCCCCCAAAACTGCCCCCGCTCTTGTGAGCGCCCGAGCTGGTGGCATTTCCCTACTGGGGGAGGACGGCTTTTTTCCACCAAGTTCCTCTGCTCCCGGCTGCCCTCCCTCCCCCTCCTTCCCAGTGGAAACGATGGCCCAGGCCGGCCCCCCCGCCGCAGGCAGAGGTGCGGCCGGAGGGGTGCGGGCTGCGAGCTCCCCCTGCGGCCGCGGGCCCGGCACATGCTCCGAGGGCGCCATCTCTCCGCCAGCCGCTGGCTCCGGCGCAGGTTTCCGAGCC